CGAAGTCCTTTGTGTCACTATGGGACAAACTCATTTGTAACTTATTTGTCACAGATTGGGATTTGGCTTCTCAGATGGAGGGGTATCAAAAAAGGGCGTGGCCCCGCAACAATGGGCTCACGTGTGGGAACAATTGTGAGGTGGGTGCTGGACCGTTTGGTGTTTCGTTCTGTTGTGCATAGGATCTCCATGGGTCAGAACCCACTCAATGGTCCCTAGCAACAACAACAACAACAACAACAACAACAGATTTGTACAATGCCTGGGCCCTATTCCACACTGAGAAAAAAAAGCAAGCCAAGTCATGTGACTCAAGGTGTCTTGCTAAGACAATGCCCCAGTGGGACAATGGAGGTCGCCTGGTCTCCTCATTGCCTCACTTCTAAGTCTTGAATACTTTTCCTTCACAAAGTTATGTGCTGATTGGACGGGAAAGGGAAGACTTGACTTTACACCTGGGTCAGGATGACTTCTACGTAAGGACCCATTTGTTTCTGCTGAAAAGCTCAGGAGATGGCCTGGTCAGGCTTCCACTTTAAATACATAGTCAAAAAAAAAAATGAGAAAGCCTCAAAATAGGGTGATTGGTCCAAGGTCAAGTGGCCATACCTTGGGGAGGAGCAGAGGCCAGACCTGCTTTCCCTAATTCCCATGGTTCTGGTCCCAGGTGAGGTCGAGGTGTGGGTGACCTATGGGCAGGATATGGGCTGTGTATCTGATGGCGAGTGGAGTTACTTGAGCTGGAGCAGAATGAATGCTTCAGCCCTGTGGGTATCCATCAAGATTTGGGGTTATCTATGTTCAGGATGTGAGTCCCAGAGGTGCACGGTTCGAGGTCTTGGCCGTTGATCCAAAGTCCAGTGGTTTGAACCCACCAGTCACTTCTTGGGAGAAACACAGGGCAGTCTGCTTCTGAAAACACCTACAATTGAAAACCCTGTGGGGCACTTCTGCTCTGTCCTACAGGGTCACCACAAGTCAGAATGGACTTGACGGTGACAGATGCTTCTTGGTTTGATGCTCAGGAAAATCAGAGCGGATAAGTGGCCATCTAAGGTGCTACTACTGGTCTCTCTGTGTCTGAAGGAAAGAAAATCGACTGATAAAAGTCCAAGGTCCATGGAAACAACTGGCCCAGTGGACTAATGGGCTAAGCCCCAGTTTCTACAATGCTGAGACCAGAAGAAGTAGATGGTGCCCTGCTACCGCTGCCAACTGCTCTGAAAAGGATCTCAAGGGAAGGTTCTGGATAGAGTGGGAGAAAAGGTGGGGCAGAACTCAAAATCATCAAAGAGACCAGGCTTGCTGGTCAGAAAGAGATTGGTAGAAGCTCCCTAGATCATGGCCTTGTAGTCAGTCACCTTTCAGGTCTGGAACTGAACTCACCCCAGGGTTAGCGTCCTCCACCACCGAAGATGAAAGGGGCAGCCTTTGCCCAAGGATGATGCTCAGAGGATTAGGAGAGGAGGAGGATGGGAGTGGGAAACACGAGGGACGTTGGCGTGGGGACAGTGCTGGCGCATTGACGGGGTTGCAATGGATGAGCTGAAACAAAAGGTGTATCGATGATTGAAGATGAAACTGTAATCTGCTCTGTAAACTGTCGCCTAATTCACAATAAAAAGTTTAAAATACAAAGGAAGCAAGAGCCGAGACCATGGGGCGGCTGTAGCCTCCAGCCCCACCCCCCACTTGTTCTGCTGGGGATACATGTAGACAACCTAGTGCTGGAGGATGGGAAGTAGTGGACAAGGGGCAACAGATGAGTTTCCATGGTGATCCCTTCCTAGAGCTCCCAGGGGCTCCTTCCTTCAGGGCAGGAATGGACACAGAGCAGACACAGCCTGGGTGCAGGAGGGAGAAACCCAAGACCTGGTCTCGTTGACCCAGTCACAGAGCTAGATGCTCTGGACAAGTGCCCCCTTCCTGCCCTGCGCTGGAGGAAGTGGAGACAGAGACCATTTGTTGAGTGCTTGCTCTGCACCCGGCATGACCCTGTTCCAAAGAGTCGCCATGAGTTGGAGATGACTCCTTAGCAGTGAGTTTTATCAAGTGTTTAAAGGAGGAGCTATTACTGTGCCCGCTGTACAGATGAGGACGTGGAAGCACAGATGGGTGAAGTGAATTCCCCAGGAACACACAGCTTCCTAAGAGCTGCCCTCTTCCCGAGCTTGCTGCTCGGTGTTCCAAACCCTCTCCTCGAAGACTAGCTCTGTTCCTTCAGGAGGTTTGGGGCATCCGGTCCAGAGAAGGGAGGGGGTGGGGAGGCAGATGCAACGTGCAATGAGCAAACACTTGTCTTAAACACAGTTGCCCCCAGTTCTGTGTGGGCACCTTAGCCAGTCTGACACCTGGCACCTCAAGTTGGGAGCAAGGCTATGCTCAGGCAGCCATGGCACCACCGTGGCAGTGACACCAACGCTGTCCCTCTGAGCACCCAGTGCTCAGACTCTGGGATACCATGCAAGGTACCTACCGCCAAGACCTGCCCCTCAGGCAGCAGAGCCTCTGCCTTCTTGGGAAGCCTCCCGAAGCTGAGCCAGAGCCCAGGCCGCCTCCTCCAACTCCCTGCTGTCCACTCCCTCCTGCCCTGCCCCAAAGGGTCGGCTCTGCCACACTGATGGCAGCTCAGTTACAGCACAGGGACTCCCCGTGGTTTTACTGAGCCCTGAGGTGCCTGAGGAGATCTCTGAGCCCTTGGTGGCAGCGGGCGTCTGCTGGAAATAGTGCCTGCGGTGATTAGCATGGCTGAATGATGTCTAGGAGGGTGACTAGAAGCTGCTTATTAGCACCCCTCCTCAGGTGGTGCCCAGGGCACGCACCATGCCTGCCATGCCTGGCAGAGTCCAGAGGCCTGTCTTTAGGATGAGCCTGCCAGGATGGTCTGCTTTCTCTTCCTCCATCCAAGCCTCCAGGGCAACGATGTGGATCTCGGTCCAGACAAGCCCAGGCCTGCACTGCAGGGACGGTGGTGGGTGCTGGTGTGTGCCCCAGCAGAGGCGGGTCACAGGAACGTGTGCCAATGGAAATGTCCCTGTGCAAACATCTCACACCCATCTTTCAGACAACTGTTTACCGTATACTCCACATTGTGTGTCGGGTTC